TTTCTCCAGGCAGGTAGCAACCCTAAGAATAAAACTTGGAATCTGGAGCTCGGAATGACAGCAAACATCTGGCACATCATAAAAGAATAGACAAAAGGCTTACCAGCCTGCAACCAAATCTGTTCAAGAGTTGTCCACAGTTGCATAGGCCCTTGCTTCAAAGTAGTACTGTGCATGGTTACTTCAGACATGGCCTGCTCCAGCCGTGATGCTGCGATAGAAGAAGCTCGTTGGGAGCCTGAAATATATAGGCAAACAAAACTTACATTACAACTGTAATCGTATCACTCTCCTTAAACTAACTGAAAATGGTGGGTTCATTCCTCCATCCCCTTGGAAACCAGTGATAATATGAATGCCTTTGACTAAGGGTCAAATTATATATTATTGTGAAGAGCTCATTAGTTTCACATTTGGGTTCTTTACATGACTTTCAGTCTATGGAAGCTTATGCCAGAACAAAAACTTGTTTGTTTCTGAAGTGCCATAATACTGCAGTTTGTTTTTGCTACAAAAGACTAACATGGCTACTGCTCAGGAAATATTACTTAAGAAATAAATTATTATAATTGGAAAGGAAACCAGATTGCTCATGGGCTCCTGCTCAAATATTAAATTCTGTGATAAATCATGTCAAGTGACAGGAATTCATTAAAAATAGTCCACTTAGCATCCATCAAGGAGTCACTCTGCTCACAAACAGAATTCTCTACTCAGCTATAAGACTGTTTTATTTAACATGGCTTTTAATAGTAGAGGAGCTTTTTGTATTTGTTTCTGCTGCATCCTCTAAACTACTGTTGCTTTTATTTGTTCTGCTTTTTCTCCAATAACTTAAAATTAGTTTTAATCATTTAAAATTGATTTTATTGTAAATTAATCTGTTGTTTATTCACTAAGCCAACATGAAGATTTAATAATGGAGAGGTCACAGTTTCCAGTTTCTCTTGGTGCAGATTCTGTATTACAGTGATGCAGAACTTTTACTTTTACAGTTCAATCAATAGCATGCATAGCTCTGCACACATGAGATAAATGTTGTTCACATTATCTGACACAGAGATCATCTGAGTTTCTAAGAAGTGACCCGCGTGAGAATTAAACAGCAGGCCAAGAGCAAAGCTGATGCCCTCTCCTCAACAAATTAATAACATACAACCTCATGCCAGTTTATTTCTTTATGTTATTTATAGTATATCTTTCTCAATGAAGCGGATTATATAGGACTAGGACTGGAGAAACCTGAAACAAGGCATAAGTACTAAACATAACATTTTAAACAATGCAAGAAATGGTATTGTCTTAAATTCAGTTTTATGAATGTTATATTTAAGCATGTGCATTCTATGGCTTGTTGTTGTAATAAATGCTTCATTCATTCATTCATTCATTCATTCATTCATTCATTCATTCATTCATTCTAGTAGTATAGTCCACAATCCTGTTCCCCTTTATTGAAACATTATCCTGACTGAGCCATTCTGTTATAATGCAGCCCTATTTCCTTTGTAAAAATGCCCTCCTTAAAAGTTCTGTTCTAGATAATTTTTGGAAAGCCAGAAGCGTGGGAGCTTTCCTGACCTCACCAGGCAGGCAGTTCCACAGGGCAGAGTCCACTACACAGAATGCACATGAACAGGCAGTCATTGATTTTGCCTCTTTGCAGGATAGCACCTGCAGGAGGGCCTGGTCAGATGAGCAATGTTGCCATGTTGCCAATGTTGCCAATGTTGCCAAAAAATCCTTCTTACCTTTACAGCTTCCATTATGTTGTTAGTTAACCATGCAGGCTTTTTCCTATTCCTATTTGTGCCTTTCCTAACCTGCGGTATATATTTTTCTGAGCCTCTAGGATTGTAGTTTTAAATAGTCTCCAAGCTTCCCCAATGGTTTTGACCCTTTCTACTTTTCCTTTCAGTTTCTTCCTCACATGTCCCCTCATATCAGAGAAGTTACACCTTTTAAAATTAAAAGTGGTTGTATTGGTCTTTTGGGGCAACTCCCCATTTATACAAATGTTGAACTCAACTGCTTGATTTATGGGTCACACTCTCACAACTGTTTTCTCTATACTTGTTCTCTGATTAGGTCGTGTTTGTTCACATTTGTCTTTGTATGGGATAGTCAGGATCTTTAACTAAACCCAGTAACTAATAAGCAGCCAATGGAGTGACCACAGAACTGGCATAATATGCATGCTCTGCCTAGTTCCTGATACTAACCAAGCTGCAGCAATCTGTACCAACTGGAGTTTCTGTGCTGATTTTGAGGGAAAACCTATACAGAGTACATTACAGTGTTCTAGTCTTGATGTTATCAGGCATGGATCCAGGTGGCCAGATAGGCTGAGTCAATGTAGGGGCCATCTTCCAGACTAAACTAAATTGGAAGAAAGTGTTTTTTGCAGCTGCATTATCTTGCTTCTCCAGCAGCAGTGCTGGATCCAGTATAACCCCTAGATTTTTAACCAAGTCAGCAAGGGCCAGCTGAACCCCATCAAAAGTGGGATGCATGATGTCCTTCAAGAGCTAAGGCTTACACTCCACCATTACCTCCATCTTCTCATGGCTCAGTTTCAGTCTGTTGACTCCCAGCCATTTAATCACAGCAGTAAGGAGGTAGCTCAAGACCTCTACCACATCCCCAGGAGATCTGGATACAGAGATATAGTGCTGGGTGTCCTCAGCATATTGATGACATTCAATTCTAAAACTACAAATTATTTCTCTAAGTATTTTACACAGAGATTTAACAGCATGCGGGAAAAGACTGCACACTGTGGAACCTCACGGGGCAAATCCCACACTGATGATAACTGGTCTCCAACAGCAGTCCTTTGAGTCTGATCTGTAAAGAATGATCTAAACCAACCCAAAGCATATCCCCTGATACCTACTTCTGCTTCCAAATGTTTCAGCAAGACCCTGTATCAAAGGCAGCAGATAAATCCAGTAGGAGAAACAAAGAAGCATGGCCTTTGTCTACATTCAGATGGACATCAGTGCCATCTCTGACTAGGGTTGCCAGGTGTGTTTTTCTTGGTGGTAGGGGGCTCCCGGAAGGTGTCCCTAGTGTGCGTGCGCGCAAAGTGCGTGCTGCATGCACGTCAGCCGGATGTAACGTGCTGACGACGGGCACGCTGGGGGTGGGGCCACAGCCATCTGAGGGGAAAACATAGAGTTTTCCCCTCAGATGGCTGTGGCCCCGCCCCCAGCGTGCCCGGCGTCAGCACGTCACATCTGGCTGACGTGCACACCAGGGTAGGGTTTCCCCCGGGGCCCGATTCCGCAGCGGCGAAAATCAGGCCTCCAAAGCGGGGGGGAAATCCACCCCCCGGGGGGACTTGGCAGCCCTATCTCTGACCCATAAGGCCTGAAGCCAGACTGACCAGGGCCCAGAGTACATGAGTTGACTGGATTGTGATTTTCTTTTAATTTACAATTTTAGTTTGAGTGGTCTGTGTGACCACATAAACCTCTAAGGCAGTCTTTTCTCAAATGTCTGATACTTAAGGATTTCCCCCCTAAATTATAATTGCAGGCATGCTTTATAGTTAAACCCCAAAAGCATTACTTTTAAAACATGTGCAAGACTAAACTTAGCTGCCCACAAAGGGTTCTCCTTTATTACTCTATGTGAGTCACTATGCTGGGCATACTTCTAATAGGAAGGAAACAAGCCTAGAGCCATGACTTGTGCAGAGGCACAATGGGCAACTTCCTCTGAGTCTGCCGGTATTTTGGGAGTGACTGGATGAGCCAATCAAACCTGATGCAGAGACACAAGAGAATTAGCTCCCCTCCCCCAGCAAAACCATGGGAGAGAGGCAAAGCCTCAAATAGTGACTAACATAGAGAAAAAGAAGGCAACCTCTTCCGTGGCATGTTATTCTGACACATATGAACTTTATCTCATCAATTTATTTCTCATGGCACATCACTGGGAATGAATGCCTAAGGCAAAAAACTATTTTCAGTTTTTGTGTGGGGAGATGGTCTACCTTTGTTTGCACTAGAGTATGGCCACAAGAAGCCTTTTTTAAAAAAACACCTCTTACCAGAGTCATTATCATGGGCGTCAGGAAGTGTGAGATACATGCTGTTATGTTTCTTGACTGGCGGCACCTCAGTCACACTGCTTGCTTTCTCAGAATCACTGCAAGGGAATGACAACAGCAACAATGTGATAGATGGTGGCTTACAGAAAACACAGGGTATTAGGCAGGCCTACAAAATGAGCATCAATCTGATCCAATTGCCACCAGCTCTGAAAGCTCTGAAAGCAGAAACATCTGTGTATGCAAGATAGCGGCTGTCAAAATATGCTGAAGGGAATGGTTCTGCCAAAGTGATGGGAATTGCTTGTGTCACTAGCAGCACCATTTGAGCCATTTTGACAAAGCAAACTGGCAAAGCAGGTGGTGGTAGTGGTGATGGACACACTCAGAGTAATTTGGCACATTTCAGTATAAAGTACTGCTTTCCACCTGCTGAAAAGCTGGCTCTTCATTCCCTGCTTAGTGGTGACAATTCTGTTTCTGCCTAGAATCATATGAAAAACAGAAAAGACTTTGAGTTCCAAAGGGCTCATGGCGGTGTAATCTGGGAGAACCGGGTTTGATTCTCCACTCCTCCACTTGCACCTGCTGTATGACCTTGGGCAAGCCATAGTTCTGACAAGAGCTGTCCTTGAAAAAGAGCAGTTTCTGTCAGAGCTTTCTCAGTCCCACCTACCTCACAGGGTATCTGTTATGGGGAGGGGAAGGGAAAGGAGTTTGTAAGCCGCTCTGAGACTCCTTTGGTTAGTGAAGGGTGGAGTATAATTCCAATCTCTTCTCTTCTCTTTCACCCTCCATTTTGCCCCCATAACAACCCTTTGAGGTGTGTGTGTAAAGAGCCATCAAGTTGCAGTCAATTTATGGCAACCTGACTAAGGGGCTTTCAAGGCAAGTGAGAAGCAGAGGTGGTGCGTCATTGCCTTCCCCTACAGAGTTTTCCTTCGTACCCTTCCAAGTACCGAGTCTGCTTAGCTTCCAAGATTTATTTATTTATTTTATTTTTCAACTTTCTACCTTGCCCTCCCAGTCAAGGCCAGCTCAGGGCAGCTGATCTGACATGACCAGGCTACACCATGCTGCTGTCCCTCCCCCTGTGAGGTAGGTTAGGCTGAAATAAAGTGATTGGACTAAGGTTGCCCAATGAGGATCATGGCTGTGGAGATTAGAACCTGAGTCTCTTAGATCTTAGCCTGACATACACACTACTACACCATACTAGCTCTCTCTTGCTGCCTTTAATCCTCATCGGATTCTGTCCCATTTGTAACTTTCATCTACTCTAGAATAAAATGCCCACTATTATCATCACTATGTAACAGTAATCTGCCTGGCCTACAGTGCTAGAATAAAGAAAATAAATTCACTTCCATTTAATTTGAAGCCCCTTAAATTCTGGTGCCTGAAGAGACTGCCTAGTTTGCCTGGATAGTCAGATCAGCCCTGTGGGTCACCAGCTTCTCATATCTAATAGTAAACTGGCTGTTCTTATATATTAAACATATTCCAGAAGCAAGAAGAAATAATTAAGAACTTTGTGCATTCTCCCTTTGCCATTCTTGTCTTATCTCTGTTGATCAATAGTCGGCTGACTATAGTTTGTTTTATGTCATGTTATTTTCAGGAGTTCATGTGTTTACCTGTTCATTCATCCCCCCCCAAAAAAAAATTTGTTATCCTCCTCAGGAATCATGTAGCTAGGATAATTTGTTCATATGTAAGACCTTTCTTGAATCATACAGACATCATCAGTGTATGGTTGCCAATCTCCAGGTGGCACCTGGAGATCTCCTGCTATTATAAGTTATCTCCAGATGACCAAGATCTATTCCCCTGGATAAAATGGCTGCCTTGGAGGGTGGACTCTATGGCATTATACCCTGCTGAGGCCCCTTGCCTCCTCAAACGCTGCCCTCCCTAGGCTCTACCCCCAAAATCTCCAGGAACTTCCCAACCCCAGACCTGGCAACCCTACTTCAGTGTCAATATGCTGTTTGAGTGGATAGCTTTCCACACAAAAATGCTGCTTAAGTATATGGTACAGTCACAGTATTATGGTGAAGTACAGTATCCCTGTATTTCCCATCTTGCATGAGGGAGGGTATGTACAAAGAATGGTTACCAAGTAATTAAAGATTTTTAATTAAAGGTCTGCTTCTAACTAATCAACATATTAATTGATTAAACTGACACATAACACAAATTAATTGAAGGTGCTGTTTGAAGACCTTGAAGGAAGGAAGGAGTTTCCTCTTCAGCATGTGATTGCTCACAATTTAATAAACAACCCTGCCACTCATTCTGAGAAAGACAGTCAATCACTCACATTTTCTGTTTCATCCATTATGGGTTGCTCTTAAAAGCAATAATTAACAACAACTGGTCTGTGGGCTGGGTGCTGATGGAAGGGAGCTTGTGCCTTAGCGGGGAGATGTACCAGAAGGCCTGATGGTCCCTTTCAGTTCTAAGATTCTGCACTCGCCATTTTCAAAGTGAGGCTTGACTGCAGCTAGTATTATTTCCCAGGCGCTGGTTCCTATAAAGCTGGCTGGTTATATGACACTGTCCCCTCCTAGTTTCTAACTGGTATAAAGTAACATCGCTTCATTTGCTCAGTAGTTTCTGCAAATTTCAGGTCTCTTGCTCATGCATCTATATATAGATTTAGGCAGGAATCCTGGACCTACTTACATGCTCATAAATCTCCCTGACCTCTGTAGGATTTACAAACATTTAAGTGAGTATAGAATTGCAACTTTTACATGCTTAACATTTTTTCATCCCTTAAAAAAATGACCAAAGATGATCTTTACCCTTAATGTACTACTCTTGCTCAGACAGCCTTGAAAGTGAGCCCACAACAGTCAGAGGTCCCCAACCCACTCAAAAACCTACCTGGCCATGCATGCCTATGCCGATCACTTCTGGAATTAAGAATTTTTAAATAAAGCATCCCTACTTGGAGGTAGGGTTGGTTCTATGTTCTTGTGGGTCCTAGATAGCAGGACCTTGTGGGCTTCATATACATGATGGTGGTGGCATCAATGGTGGAGCCAATAACACTAGCAGCATCAACATTTCTGTCATGTGAGAAAAGCTGGTACTTGTACTTTCAAGGAATGAACAAGGTCAATTGAATTGCTTTCTAAGTATATGCTGCCTCTCCAGAGAGTTGCTTGAGGTTGCCCAGATAGAAAAATATTGCAAGGAAACCATACAGCAACAGCAGAAACAAGCCATAAAAAGGCACAACATAAAAACAAGCCAGAAGGATTTAAAAAACCCTGTAAAACAATGTTTGGAAACATATCATGATATTAATAAAATAGTCCTCAAGTTAGAAGAAAACCAGAATAACAGCTTTAAAATATGGATGCTCTCAGTTAAAACTAGAGATGCCAGACCACCACCCCGGTGGAGATGGGGATCTCCCACCTTCAGCCACCACCTCTCTGCTGCTGACCAGCAAGGAGGAATTACCCCCCTCAAGGGAGGAATGCCAGAAATTAATCCGACATGCCTACATGACCCAGATGTGATGCAGGAATTTTGGGAGATGGCACTCTGGTTTTTGGGCAAATCTCTATGGTAGAAGCTAATTCTACCATAGAGTTTTGCCCCAAAACCAGAGCATCACCCTCTTCATGTGCCTACATCACTTCTGGGTCAAGTAGGCATGTCACATTAATTTCTGGCATTCCTCCCCAGTAAGTGTACCCCCATCCCCTGCCAGCTGCTCCAAGGGACCTAGCAACCCTAGTGAAAACCCTGAGTAAAGGAAATGTGTTTTTTTTAAGGTACCAGACAAGCCTTAAGGGGGAGGGAGTTTCCAAGGTGAGGTCCCATCACCAAGAAAGCCCTGTCTCTGGTTGCCAACTACCTCAACTCTGCAGTCAAGGGCATAGAGAGAAGGCCTTGAGAATATTTTAAAAGATTGCTTGTGTTGTGTACTGTCTCTTTAAGAGGCTAACCCTGAAGGAGAGGCACATTTCATTTACAGCAATTCTACTTAAAGAAAAACCTACCTGTGTTGTGAAACACTATATAGTGTCTGCCACAGATGCAACATATGCCTGCAAGTCACTAAAGCCTCTTCTGGTCCTTTATGCACCAACTCCAGCTTCACTTTGGTGAAGAGTAAGCTGTAAAAAAAAAGAAAGAAAGGCCACTATTAAGGTCATGGTATTTCCATCTGCTCTATGTAAGCTGTTGTGTCACACCTTCCTGTTGCCTCAAAACGGGTTCCCTTCTTCACAACCTAGAAAGGCTTTCCCCTGGGTTCCTCCTGGGCTTGGGAAGTGGTCCATTTCCCTTTTAGTCCTTGTTTCCTTTTCTGATCCTGCTTCCCTGTGATTCCCTCACACCTCCATGACACCCAACACTGTGGTACAGCTATGGTTATCAACCTCCAGATGTGGCCTGGAGATCTCCTGGAGTTACAACTGGTCTCTAGATGACACAGATCAGCTCTGGTGGATACAATGGCTGCTTTGGACAGTGGGCTTTATGGCATTATGCTGAGGACCCTCCCATCCCTAAACCTCACCTTCCCCAGGCTCCACTCCCAAATATCCAGGAATTTCTCAGTGCAGTGTTGGCAACCTTCGGTGTAGCCTGTCTCTGGGTGAGCATGCCTGCCTTGGGGAGGTGTCACTTTCAAGCCAGCTCCTCAGCCACCCCTCTTGCTTGGGGGTCCCTTGGCCTTTCTAGCCTGCCCCATACCTTCAGGAGCTCACCAGGCTTGGCCGACCCCTGGGCTTTTCAGAGGCTATCGTGGGCTGTGCCACCCCCTCCTGCCTATGGGCTTTTTTCTGCCCTTGCCTCTGGGAGCTCCCATCAATGTACTTCCTTCCGGAGCTTCTGCTGGGCAGCATCAGGTCTTGCAGGCCTGTTGCCCCCAGGTTTTCCCTTTGTCTGGGACTCTGTTGGTTTTGGCAGTGCTGCCTCCTCTCTGGGCCTTTCCCAGGCTGTCCTGTCCTCAGCCACCTCCATGCTCCTCTTCCATCCACTGCCGAGAGCCTTCTTGAGGCCTTGCAGTTCTGTTTCAGATCTCTCCCTTGCTGGTTCATTGCTGGCCTTCGAAGGCCCCGCTCCTCTGTCATCACTTCCAGCCAGGCCATTGGGAGCACCCTGCTACAGGTTAGATCTTGTGGGGCTGCCCAGGCAGCCACACCTGGTTTAACCCCCAGGACTCCCGTTTTTCAGTTAATATGTTGGGAAAATATTCTCAACTGTTGGAGCACACAGAACTTCTTCAAGTATGTGGCCCAACCTTATTACTGAAACACGAGGGTTAAGCCTTTGTCCAACATGACCACTGATTCCTTTCCTCTCCTTTGCTTCAGATTTCTCCCTCCATTGATCAAAATTAGTCAATGAATATTTGAAAATATACATAAACACAAACCAAGGAACAAACGACCATGTTAAAAAATGAGCATCTTGCTCCATGCAAACCTTAAGAACATAAGAGAAGCCATATTGGATAAGGCCAATGGCCCATCCACTCCAACACTCTGTGTCACACAGTGGCCAGAAACCAAGGGCCATTAGGAGATACACCAGCAGGGCCATAACTCCAGAATTCCTCCCACTGTTACCCCCCAAGCACCAAGAATACAGAGCATCACTGCCCCAGACATAGTGTTCCATCTATACCATGTGGCTAATAGCCACTGATGGACCTCTGCTCCATATATTTATCCAGTCCCCTCTTGAAATTGTCTATGCTTGTAGGTGCCACCATGTCCTGTGACAGTGAATTCCACATGGTAATTACTCTTTGGGTGAAGAAGTACTTCCTTTTATCCGTTCTAAACCTTCTATTTTATTTACTTTTATTATTATTTAATTCATTTATACCCCACCTTTCTCCCCAATGGGGACCCAAGGTGTCTTACATCATTCTCCTCTCCTCCATTTTTTCCTCACAACAACCCTGTGATATTGGTTAGGCTGAGTCAATGTGACTGGCCGAAGGTCCCTCAGTGAGCTTCCATGGCATTAATGTGGATTCGAATCTGGGTCTCCCAGATACTAGTCCGATACTCTTAACCACTACACCACACTGGCTCTCAAGTCCACACAGCTCTAACTGGAAGTTCAGAATCAAGAGCTATGTCTTTCTTATTGTGCTTAGAGATGGATGCTAGTATGTTCAAGGATACATTAGCTTGTATTCAATGATATCTGCTAGTGGGTGGAATAGGACTCTCTTGCCTCTTCCTTCAGTTGAAGCCCACTGAGCCCTTTCCCAATTAGGGTTGCCAGGTTGGGAAATTTCGGGAGATCTGGGGGTGCAGCCTGGGGAGGGACCTCAGCAGAACGTAATGCCATAGAGTCTACTCTCCAAAGCAGCCATTTTTCTCCAGGGGAACTCTGTAGCCTGGAGATCAGTTGTGACTCTGGGAGATCCCCAGACCCCAGCTGGAGACTGACAACCCTGTCCCCTGTTAGTTATTAGAGTGGTCATTCTGGTTTGCTCCTATGGAGAACGGGAGAAGCCTTCTACAGAATTTCTTGACTTGTGCATTGTAGCATTGTGAGCTTTGGGTGAGTGCAGGAACCCCCCTGGATACTATGTAAAGTATGTTGTGTTATATTGTATTTGTAAGTTAGTTCCAGGAGAAATAATTTGCCTGAAGAAGGATTTCTCGAAATACACAACTTTTGCCTGGGAGGTGTGTTCCATGACATTTGCTGCATCTCTTTTCTGAAAGCAAGACAGCCTACAACATTGAATCCTGTCTGCATATTTGTCTCTGTAGCTGTGGACATTCCTACAAGATTTATATTGTCATATTCATTTGTACATCTTTATGTCATTGTTATCAGTGCACTATAATCAATGAGTTGCACTAGGGTCTTTACTGTATATTATATGATTTAATCAAATAATGTATAGTAGCATATCAGAACTGTGTGTTTTGTTTGAACACCGTGATTTTCCACATTTACTCAACGTTGCCATGTTCCCCGTGTGTTTGTTGCCCACCTGGAGCTTGGCACCCCTGTCCCCAGTTTTGTTCCTGTGGCTCAGTGGATTCTCATGAACAGTATAAGGACCAACCTGCCTTTTACTGACAGAAACCAAGGCCTGATCTCTAGCAATATGCTTGTGATTGCCTAGCAATGGCCACCAAGGCCATTTGTTTCTTAAAGCTATAGGTGCTGTTCCTACCCACACCCTTTTTGAAGATTTCAGATTTTTCTGTCAGGTTTGTGGAAAGCTCTGTCTTGTCGGACCATGGGCCCAATCTCTGGATTTAAATATCCACAGATAGGCCATGTTGAGAATTAAATATATTGATATTCTAAACAGGTCAATGCATGCAAGCTCTTCTCTGCTATTATAGTGAAAATGCCTTTATATTCACCATGGGAAAGCTTTGTAAGGTGAACATGCAATGTTCAAATACAATATCCTGGGTAATTCTCTTTCAAGAGTTCAACATAATTTACTGCACTGTTTACAACTTCAAACACAGTACATGAATTTAGCATCCATATAAGAAAAGTATGAATAGGCAGAAAGAAGTGGAAGCAATAATGTCAAATAAGGGTCACATTCAGCATCGCATTTTACTAAGTGCATGGGGTATTAAGCCCTATGCACATTCGTGCAACTTTTGAATAGAAGACTCTGCTTGTTTTAGTGGTGAGGCATCAGGCTTACCAAGTACTTACCGTGATTCGGCGGGGGACACATACATCTTCCCAGGACCATTCCTGCGTGGACAACAGATTCGCCGCACCATGCCGTCGCCAGGAAGTGACGTTGGCCGACGCTCTGGCAATGGGGCTGGAAACTCGATGGTACCATCGAGTTTTCAACCCCATTGTGTCAGAGCATCACCCAGCGTCACTTCCTGGCGACGGCATGGTGCATTATAGGGAGGAATGTTCCGGCCGGGGAGCATGTGTCCCCCGATGGATTGCGGTAAGTACTTGGGAACCCTATGAGGCACAGTGACACAGCCAATATAGAACAATTTTAATTTACTGAGGCTCTTAAATGAAAAGAATTTGTAAAAAGTAATTTCTTTAGTTAATTTAATTGAATGGAGATAATTTCTTCTTGCATCTGATGAAGTGAGCACCAACTCACAAAAGCTTATGCTGAAATTAATTTTATTTATTTATTTATTTTATATAAATAAATAAATAAAATAACAAATCCATTTTGTTACTCTAAGGTGTTCCTGTTTAATTTTACTATAGCAGATGAATACAGCTGCCACTCTGGAATTAGTGAAAATATTCTCAGTATGGAACCCAATCACACCCTTAAAAATCAGCTACCATCAAGATGTAACAAGAGAGAGAAAAGAGAAGAAAAACAGGTATTTTAAAAAATAAACCCAAAACCCATTTGTTAAAAAAGAAGGTATCTCATTTTGAAAATGCTTTCTTTTATATAACTGTATGCCACTAAGAGAGAGAAGCTAAATAGGGATGCTGTGAATTTGAACTTGCTGTTTTCAAAGGTGTCAATCGCCTAGTAAATTTGCTTCATGTTGAACAGCCACAAATGCCTACCAAATGGCTTAGCATTGGGTTTTTTTTGCAGAACTGTTCATGCAAAAAGATGCTGCAAATTTATCAGTTGCTATTAGCATTATTAGGCCTACTTTGGCCCTGTTCATACGAGGCGTTTTGGGCCGGGAGGGGGACGGAATGGGGGCGGAGCAAACGGGCGCGATCCCACGGCAACATCTGGGAATCGTTGCCTGCCCGTCCGTGATCCGTCCCTACCGCCGAAAACGCGCACTAAAAAAGAACCACTTTCCAGTAGAGCGCCTCAAGCCGGGCCGTGGGATCAGCCGGCGCGTCTTTGCGTTGGTGCATCCCGGCCCCCTGCCGTACTGCGCATGCTCGAGCATGCACAGTTCGGCAGACTCCCCCTCCCATCCGACTCTTCCTCCCCGGCATCTGATCGTGCCGGGGAGCGCCGCGCCGCGGCTCGGGGGATCCGTGGGATCCCGCCGCGCGTCTCAACTTTGGTGCGGCTCAGATTAGCCGCAGTTCAGCTGTCCTTTCCCCTGCCGTGTGGCAGGGACCTTTGATGAACACCAAAGGGTAGGAATTTATTGAAACACAATAGTTGAAAAATCAGGTCTCTGCTCATGACTGGTGAACAGGA